TCCCTCCTGATCCCACAGCTCTGGGAAGGCTGATCCCTCCTGATCCCACAGCTCTGGGAAGGCTGATCCCTCCTGATCCCACAGCTCTGGGAAGGCTGATCCCTCCTGATCCCACAGCTCTGGGAAGGCTGAACCCTCCTGATCCCGCAGCTCTAGGGAGCCTGATCCCTCCTGATCCCGCAGCTCTGGGAGGGCTGGTCCCTCCTGATCCCACAACTCTAGGGAGCCTGATTCCTCCTGATCCCACAGCTCCAGGCAGACTGGACCCTGCCCAGGCTTGGGGCAGTGCAGCCCTGCAGGGAAGGAAGGAAAGAGCAAAGGCTGCGCGGAGCTCCCCCCAGTTTATCCCAGCCCCTAACTGGCCCAGCCCCGCAGGTCTAATCTCCACCAGGGTTCCACAGACCCCTGTTTTGCAGCGATGCTTCGGTGTTGACCTCAGCAGGGTGAGGCTGCCGGGCCGTGCAGACCAGGGACATGTTTTCAAACCCATCCAGAACTAACATGACTTCAGCTTATCTCTGAGTCACAGGCGGGGGAGGTGGGAGCGGGACGTGCTGGTGGCTCCGTCAGCAGGGAGGGGATGTCACGCACTGCCAGCCCTGCTGGCAGGTTCCTGTCACTGTGGGGGATCAAAGCAAGGCCTGGGGCATTGCTGGGAGGGGTGAGAGAGGACTTTAGAAACCGAAGACCCTTTCCCCAAAAGCCAACCTGACTTTCTGTGGCTGAAGTTGCATCAAAATCCAGAGGAAGAAGAAAGCGGAGGAAGCACAGAGTCCTCCCAGCAACTGGTGCCACCAAAAGGTGATGTTCACCATTTATCCCCAGTGAGCCCTTTTTGTGGTAGCACAGGTGGCAATGCCACCTCAGGGTCAGATCAAGGTCATGAAGCAGACTTGTAGCAGGTCCCTGTCACCACACAAAACGATTTAAGGGCTGGAGCAGCTCTGCTCTGGAGACAGGCTGGGAGAGTTGGGGTGTTCAGCCTGGAGAAGAGAAGGCTCCAGGGAGACCTTAGAGCAGCTTCCAGGGCCTGAAGGGGCTACAGGAAAGCTGGGGAGGGACTTGGGACAAGGGCAGGGAGGGAGAGGACAAGGGGGGATGGATGAAAAGTGGCAGAGGGAGATTGAGGTGAGACATGAGGAGGGAATTGTGGAGTGTGAGGGTGGTGAGAGCCTGGCCCAGGTTGCCCAGGGAAGCTGTGGCTGCCCCATCCCTGGCAGTGTTGAAGGGCAGGTTGGATGGGGCTTGGAGCAACCTGGGCTGGTGGGAGGTGTCCCTGCCCATGCAGGGGGGTTCAATTTAGAAGATCTTTCAGGTCTCTCCCAACCCAAACCATTCCATGATTCTATGATTCTATGATAAGATCTCGATGTGAGGGGCCTGGGGTATTTGCAAGATTTGAGTATGTGGCTTCTTTGAGCAAAGACTGTCCCTTTCCCCACAGCCAGAGAATCAAATCCCAAGAGGAAAGCACAGGAGGCTGTGGGTGCAGCCACTGCCCACACACCAGTGGTAACCTGGGCTCATAGGCTTTGGTGCTGGTGTGAGTGGAGCCTGGGAGGAGCTTGTGAAGTGGCAGCTGTGACATGGCAGCAGCTGTCCCTGCTCCCCCCAAGGGAGGAGGCCCAACCTGATCCCTCTCAAAAATCCCCTACATCCCACACAGAGTTAGTGCATGCTCAGCATTCAGGGAAACTCAGGTGAGTTCTCAGCAAACACAGGCCCTGGAACAGCCTGGGCTGCCAGAGCTGCCACCAGCTGCTCCCTGACCTTTGCTTTCAGGCCCTGACACCAAAACCCAAACAGAAAACAGGGGAATATTCCAGCCCACACAGAGCCCTGACAGTGCTGCTCACTTTGCTTCTGATCTCTCTGAGCTTCCCCCAGCCCCTCCTGCTTCCTCCAGCCCCAGGTCCCACGATCCACAGGGATGTGTCACCCCTGCCTTTGGCTCATCTCCCAGTGTTTATTCTTGCTGTCACAACAGCTTCTTGTGTCCTCGTTCAACTTGTGAAATAAACATGCCCTGTAATAACACACAGAGGGGCCAAGAGCAGGGAATCAGGATGGCTAACAGGTAAAACAACAGTCCACAGCAGGTTTCTGGGTGGTCACTGAGGAGAGGAGAAGATCAAGGTGCAAAGTGCACCTTCCTGCGGGGACAGAATTCCTTCAGGGTCCCCAGTGGGACACTGCTCACTTGGCAGTCTCCCTTCTGGATTTCTGCTGGGCCTCTGGACTTGGGGGTGAACTGATCTTTCTGCTCGGTCCTGAAGAGGTCCTGTGCCCTCCAGGGCAGCTCCAGGTGTGAGCACTTGATCTGAGGAGAGAGAAGAGCTTCCAGCAGGTGGTAACACCTGGCAGCTCCTACATCTGAGCCCCCTGTGCTGACCTGCAGGGTCACCCCCTGGGCCTGCACCTCTGGTAAATGCAGAGACTTCTCTGCTGGTGCAAAGAGTCATTCACCCGAGCTGGACACCTCTAGCCCTGCCATTTTTTCCTCTTCCAATCCTCTGTGGGTGACCAGAATCACCTTCCCCCTCCCTCCAATGTTCCTTGGCTTAGGGACTTGGTTGTCTATCCCTCCTCTCCCTCCAAAGACTTTTCTCAGCTGTGACTCTGCTCCCCACAGAGCCTGCAGGCAGACAGGGTTTGATGCCTGGCTGTCCCATCTCAAGTGGCTCACACACAAACTGCTGATCTTCCTGAGGAATAACCCTGCTTCCCCAGGCTGCCCCCTGGTAAATCCAAGTGAAGGCTCTACCTGCTGTAGTTTGTCCTCAGAGAGTCTTTGTTTCCGCTGTCTGTGTGGGACCAGCATGGCCTGTGTGGTTGTGACAGGACTTTCATCTGCTGACAGATGGAATTGAAATGAAAAGTCAATTCAAGCCAGTAAATTAGGAGGCAACATCAGAGAAGCTCTGCAGTTTGCCTTGCAGTCAGGAACCTGTGTGCATTTCCTTTGCTGAGAGGCAAGGACAGGCTTTGCCATCAGCACTTTGCTGAAGACCTTGGCCCAGACAGAAAGCAGTTCCCAGGGTGAGAAGGTAAATGTAAAACCCCACATGGCAGTTCCAGGAATATCACACCATATGCTGGTTATGGAGCTGCTCCAGAAGTCTGGGGCCAAGGAAAAGACCAACTCAACTGTGATCTGTTCCACATTTAGTAAAACAAATGGCTTAAAACCAGATAACATGGCATGAAGGGACCTTCCTCAGCTGCAGAGAACTGGCCATGGGAAACAGGAAGAAACGTCAGAGCAGGATTATGTTCATTCCTTCCACCACCAGCTCTAACCACATCCCTTCCTGAGCTTGCACAAGCACAGCTTTTGATGGAAATCCTCTCCTTCCTTCCTCCCAAACAGAAACGCAAAACAACTACTAAAAACAAACCTAGCAAGGGAGAAAGGTTAAGTTCATGTCCCAGAAATGATCTGTGTCACCTGAACACATGAAGCATTGCTGTGGGGTGCCAGTGGGTGCCAGTGGGTGCCACCTCTGACCCTAAATGCCCAGCTCCCTCCTTTCCCAGAGCACCAGGCACGGCTGTCCCTGGCACAGAGCTAAGAGAAGCTCAGCAGGCTTCGTCTGGCACCAGGACAGCCTGAGCAACGGGGTCTTACTGTGGTAGTTGAAGGGGATGTGGCTTTGCTGGTGGCTCCTGGTGTCTGCTGTCACCCTGGGGCCCGGGGGGGGGGCTGGAAGGCTGCCTGCTGCGTGGTGCCCAAGGACGCGGCGCCCGCACGCCCCTCGCCCAGGCTGAAGCTGCTCTGGTTCTTCTTTGGTAGGAAATCAGGCCTTGGTGGGAGGATCTGCCTGTCAGGCTGGAGAAGACAAGAGCTGCTTGAAAAGGGGAGATTGAGGTTGGACATGAGGAGGGAATTCTTTGCTGTGAGGGTGGTGAGAGCCTGGCCCAGGTTGCCCAGGGAAGCTGTGGCTGCCCCATCCCTGGCAGTGTTGAAGGGCAGGTTGGATGGGGCTTGGAGCAACCTGGGCTGGTGGGAGGTGTCCCTGCCCATGCAGGGGGTGAAACTGGATGAGCTTTAAGGTCCCTTCCAACTGAAACCATTCTGTGATTCTATGAGCAGAAAGAAACTGTCACTGGGAAAGGCCCCTGACTACACAGCCCAGAGGAGAGGGCACAACAGCATCAGCTTTAGGTGCCAGAAACATGAAACCATTAAGGTTGGAAAAGATCTCTAAGATCACCAAGTCCAAATATAGTGTTTGTAAAACCAGAGAGGGTCCCCAGCAGAGAAACACCCACACAGCACAGCTGAGAACAGACCTCTGGGTAGGAGACCTGTGTCATGGTCTTTGCCAAGGCTCGATTCCTCTCAGGGTCTTCATCACCCCTGGGGATGGAGGAGGAGTATCTGTTTGGGTAGGCAGCAGTGACAGGCTCTGGCAAAAGCAAGAGTGAAGGGTGGTCAGAGCACTCTGGTCTCTGGACAGTTTGCAGCTACAGCAGCTTCTCCTCGTGCAGGAAAGCAGAAGAATGAATTCAGCTACTGAACCTGCCAGGGAGGTGGGGTGAGGAGGAGACTGAGCCCCACAGGGACAGCATTGATACTGAGTACATAAAAACTACTCAAGATTAAAAATGTAAAATTATATACATATTATAGGACTGCATTATGCCCTTATCTAAACCACTAAAACCAAATGATAAAACCTGCTGTTCAGCTGGTGATCAACCCAGCAGTGTCTGTACATGTTGTCCCTTTGTCCCAGACCTTCCCTACCTAGTTTGTGCACTGGGAAGTGCTCTGAAGTCGAGGTGGAGAACCTGGTGCAACCATCCCCCAGCTGCACGTTGGTGTGGTGGATCTGGGAGGCAGCAATTTCCTTGTCGTAAGCTCTGCAAGATACCAGACAGGAGCTGCTGAATTAGCCAGGTTCTTTGGAAAGAGCAGTTCCTGGGGATGCCCACCAGGTTCTCCTCCTGGTACCTGTCTGTCCTCTCCTCTGGGGCACCATAGGCACATTTCTGCTCGCTCACAGATCCACTGCTCCTGGGATCCCCAAAGGGCTGGAAGGCTGCCTGCTGCGTGGTGCCCAAGGACGCAGCGCCCGCGCGCCCCTCGCCCAGGCTGAAGCTGCTCTGGTTCTTCTTTGGTAGGAAATCAGGCCTTGGTGGGAGGATCTGCCTGTCAGGCTGGAGAAGACAAGAGCTGCTTGAAAAGGGGAGATTGAGGTTGGACATGAGGAGGGAATTCTTTGCTGTGAGGGTGGTGAGAGCCTGGCCCAGGTTGCCCAGGGAAGCTGTGGCTGCCCCATCCCTGGCAGTGTTGAAGGGCAGGTTGGATGGGGCTTGGAGCAACCTGGGCTGGTGGGAGGTGTCCCTGCCCATGCAGGGGGTGAAACTGGATGAGCTTTAAGGTCCCTTCCAACTGAAACCATTCTGTGATTCTATGAGCAGAAAGAAACTGTCACTGGGAAAGGCCCCTGACTACACAGCCCAGAGGAGAGGGCACAACAGCATCAGCTTTAGGTGCCAGAAGCATGAAACCATTAAGGTTGGAAAAGATCTCTAAGATCACCAAGTCCAAATATAGTGTTTGTAAAACCAGAGAGGGTCCCCAGCAGAGAAACACCCACACAGCACAGCTGAGAACAGACCTCTGGGTAGGAGACCTGTGTCATGGTCCTTGCCAAGGCTCGATTCCTCTCAGGGTCTTCATCACCCCTGGGGATGGAGGAGGAGTATCTGTTTGGGTAGGCAGCAGTGACAGGCTCTGGCAAAAGCAAGAGTGAAGGGTGGTCAGAGCACTCTGGTCTCTGGACAGTTTGCAGCTACAGCAGCTTCTCCTCGTGCAGGAAAGCAGAAGAATGAATTCAGCTACTGAACCTGCCAGGGAGGTGGGGTGAGGAGGAGACTGAGCCCCACAGGGACAGCATTGATACTGAGTACATAAAAACTACTCAAGATTAAAAATGTAAAATTATATACATATTATAGGACTGCATTATGCCCTTATCTAAACCACTAAAACCAAATGATAAAACCTGCTGTTCAGCTGGTGATCAACCCAGCAGTGTCTGTACATGTTGTCCCTTTGTCCCAGACCTTCCCTACCTAGTTTGTGCACTGGGAAGTGCTCTGAAGTCGAGGTGGAGAACCTGGTGCAACCATCCCCCAGCTGCACGTTGGTGTGGTGGATCTGGGAGGCAGCAATTTCCTTGTCGTAAGCTCTGCAAGATACCAGACAGGAGCTGCTGAATTAGCCAGGTTCTTTGGAAAGAGCAGTTCCTGGGGATGCCCACCAGGTTCTCCTCCTGGTACCTGTCTGTCCTCTCCTCTGGGGCACCATAGGCACATTTCTGCTCGCTCACAGATCCACTGCTCCTGGGATCCCCAAATTTAACAGAAGACACGTGCTGAAGGGAAGCCAAGAGAGCCAGAGAACAGTCACTTAAAGCCCAGTCCCTTTGCTTCCCCTCTCTGTCTTTCCATCCATCTGCTTTCCACTCCCATAGAACCCACAGGACAAAATTCAACATGGGAACCTGCTGCATTTTGGTCCTCCCTAAAATCCCACTGTTACCTTCTCCCCTGGCTTGGCAGGGGGACTCCATTCACCCTTAAACTGTGCTTGGTAAGAAGTGCTGTAAGAGGACGGTCCATCCCTTGGAATAGTGGGGACACATCCTGCCAAACAGAGGGGAAAGGAGCAGTGTGACATCTGACAACGCTCTGTTTACCCTCCCAAGGAAGTTATCAATGATATCAAAGCTGCAATCTCAAGGCAGCTGCTCTTGGAGCATTTTTAGTGCTCCTAAATCTATTTCATACGCGGAAATGGCAAAGCAATTGACCCCAGGATGAGGAAGGTGACAGTGCAGGACATGGCTGTAGCTCTGGTGCCAAAACTGCAGCAGCTGAGGAGACAGCAAGTGCAGGAGACAGCTGGAAAGGCTGTGGAGCCAAAGTGACTCTTGTTAGTGAAAGCCTGTGGAGCAAAAGTGGCTCTAGTTAGTGCTATTAACCTGTTTTACAAGCATCAGATTGATTTACTCAGCTATAAAAAGAGAAAGTAAAATATCCAAATGGTTCTAACAGCTTTAATTGCTCCCAGGCTGTCTCCGAGCCCAGGCAGGTGTCCAGGGAGCCTGTGCAGCTCTGAGCACCTCAGGGAAGGTCTGTTGGGGACACACGGGTCTGTAAAATAAAGGGGTGAGGGTGGTGAGAGCCTGGCCCAGGTTGCCCAGGGAAGCTGTGGCTGCCCCATCCCTGTCAGTGTTGAAGGGCAGGTTGGATGGGGCTTGGAGCAGCCTGGGCTGGTGGGACGTGTCCCTGCCCATGCAGGGGGTGGGACTGGATGATGTTTAAGGTCCTTCCATCCCAAACCAGTCCATGATCCCAGGAAAGCAGCTCACTCCTGTGCAGGTGCCACGGCCTGACCAGGGGCTGTGCCTGGTGGGCTGGGTACGAGGAGCTGTAGACGGATGGAAGGATCCTGGTTTTCTCTCTGTCCCCACAAGGAATGTTATCCTCCTGCTTCACGGGAGCGGGCCGGGAAGGTCTCTGCAGGGGGCCCTGGGGCCAGGGGAAGGTTTCCTTGGTGACGGAGCTGAGGACACGGACACGCGGGTCCGTGTGCATCCGGACCCCGGGCGGCAGCGGCACCGCCGGGGCCACCGGCTGGAGCGGGCGGGC